TCCACCCACTGAAACATCGACTCTACACCCACTGAACACCGACTCTCTACCCACTGAAACATCGACTCTCCACCCAGCAACACGCCATTTGTGTGGAGGTCCAATTATCAAGAAGTGAAAGTGGGGAATACAACCCTCCATCTGCAGCAGCGTTTTGTGTTCATCACATTCCTCTGCTCTGCATATTGTTTTTATTCTTGATATTGTGAACCTTTGCACATCCTCAAGAATATATATTTGCACACAGCTGCCAAGCTATTTCCTTTTAAATAGATACTAGCTCAGATAACGCTACATTGTTCATTTCTTCTATCCTTTCTTTATGTTTAATGTTTAAGCAGCAAAGAAATACATTTGAAGAAGTCAAAGGCAATGTCTCAATGTTACTCCCTGCTCTTCATCACTCACCAGGGAGAACATCGACCTGAACCGGGTGCCTCAGGTCATCCATGAGGCCAGCTGCCACACCAGCCACTCGTGCAGGGGACTGGACAACGCGTTCAGTCTGGAGACCATCCCCGTGTCCCTGAGGATGCCTGTGCTCAAGAAGAACGCCAGCTGCTTCCCCACGGCCAGCTACTCTCTGGAGTTTGAGCTTATCACCATAGCTTGTATATGTGCCATCTCCAGGCACAGCTGAGCAGGACTGACTGCTCTCAAGATTATGTGTTTGTTAAGAACGTGCATGACGTAAAGATGGTGGTTTCTACAAATAGCCCATTTCACTCATTGTTACTGTTTTCCAGTAAACATAAAGATGCCTGTTGACAGCTTATCATAGTCATTTTACATTAACTGATATCATTATTGTGTTTACATGGAGCATTGTGGCAGCCTGGTTGTCACAATTCAAATTCCTGAGTTAACTGGGGTCCGGTCTGCAGAGCTTTTTTCCCGTCCACAAGAAGTCTTAAAGAGTAACTAAACCCAAAGTTCTGGCCTTCAGAACATTACAGAATCTGCCAGTAATGTGCTTTCCTACGCTGTGACCAGCGTGTGTGGATGAAGCATTACATTGTTCAATTTTACATATTTAGGAGCTGGCTAGTTAGCTGGCTACTTAGCTAGCTAGCTTCCTAATTTCTTGCTGATTTCATGCTACAGTGACAGAACATAAAGAGCAGCACATGAGCTGCTGGGATGGGTTCACTGTACTTTAACATGCAACCCTTTCAATTAGACTTTATATGCAGGGCTAAGCTGTCTGTATGCTAGAGACTTGTTGGTGATGAAAGCTGGCTCCAGATCAGCTGATATATATATATCCAGAATAGCTGGGTTCTAACCAGTAGCTCTGCATATTTACAACACAATATGTAGAATTCTAACACTTTGCACTAACATGTCAACACTAGGACCTGCGTCCGTCAGCAACACTACTACACACACATTGGTTCTTCAGCAGGTTTAGGGCGTAGCTACTCCAAGTATTCTCCACTTAAACACACTACAGTGTAAAGAGTACAGCTAGGGTTGTACAAAGTTCTAGAATATATTACTCAAACAAAAGCAACGTTAATTACAAGATGTTTTAAATTAATTACAAGGAAAACTACTCAGTAAGAATGAACTTAGAGTCAGTTAAAATGTAAACTATTTTACATTTTTAAAGTGAACCCCCTGTGTATGATGATGTCATATAATAGAGCTATTAAAGTAAAGAACACATCATATGATGCTAAATGTAGTGCTTTACCATATCAACAAATACACATCACACCCAGAGCCCTTTTGTCCAAACAAACAATGAATTCATTTTCTTTCGACGGCACTTTGCAGCCGGTGCACACAACTAAGTGATCATCAAGTCCACCCCCCTCGCTCAGTGTAGCCGCTCTAGAAGAAGCCTTACAGAGAAGAGGATCAAATTAAATCAAGCAAAGATGATTGACAATATATAACAAGTGGACACAACAACCATTACAGACCCTTCTTATAGAACTAACAGCAGAATAAAACACCAAGGCAAACAACACTGATCTACAGCAGCTACAGTCACAAGCTTCATTTTCATTGCATAATGCAAAGCTTAATATAACCAGTCAACCTGTCTGTCCCACGAGACCAGTACACACTGCCTCCAACAGCACAGCTCACGATGCGCGTGTATATATATATATATATATATACACATACATACATACATACATACATATGTGTATATATACAGTTGTGTGAAAAAGTGTTTGCCCCCTTCCTGATTTCTTATTTTTTTGCAT